CAAATGACGTATCGATTGCGGTAGTATCTTGTAACCTTCAAATAACCTCTAAGCTCACAGGTTTCTCCTCTTCACCATGATCTCCAAACATCAGTTGTTTTACAAAACATTTCGGGGTTAAAATTAGCCAACCAGAAGTCCCTAAAAGACCCCGTGACCCCGTCTCTGGTTGAAGGTATTTTTAGTTCTCGTTGTTTGACGTCAGCGGATCGAGAGTGCGCGTGCTGGTCCATCAAGCGGTAACCAGGTTGTTTTGTCATCTGTGTTGCTGCTCTTGGATAAAGTAAAAGTGCACGAGGTGTTTCAGCGCGTGCTACATATTGCAGGTGCAGCTCGAGAAAGTACAAAGTTTCTTCGTGTGCAGGTACACGTTGTTTTTTTCATTTTGACTGGGCGTATTAGCAAACTATTTAAAATATAATGTTTGACAGCTTAGTAGTATAAAGTTTGTTTAGGGTTGTATGTTAAATATTATAATTATGTTTGTAAACAACTGATACAGATAACCGGCTTGTTTTGATATGAAACAGTTTTAAACACCCACTTCCTTAGGAAACCTAACCAACGAATTTCCGTTCAACAATGGAATGACATAATTATTTTAAACTTTAATTATACTTGTCATAAGATATTAGTATTAGGCTTATCGCATTTCTAAGATAACAATTTTTACTTTGTTCCTTAGTTTTCGAAAATGATAATAATGTATAATATTATTTCAACCATAATAATGTCCGCCATATCCATTGCCGACGACGCGTTTCGCTCAATCCAGAGCTCATCAGAATGTAGTGTTAGAAAATATAATAAGCCTAATACTAATATCTTGCGACAAATATGATTAATTATGATTGTGATTTGCCAGCTCAGAAAAAGCGATCACTCCGTAATTGCTGTTGTAAGAAGTGTTCTAACCACTACTGTATTTGTTGTGTGTCCCAGCTGACCCGATGCTCTCTGGATTGAGAGAAACGCGTCGTCGTCAATAGATATGGCGGATATATTGTGGTTTAAATACCGTTTATCACAGCCGTGATTGAGGTGTTTTAAGAAAAACACATCTACAATTTTAAATTCGTCATAAATATAAGTTATTTAAAGTGGCGTAGGTGGCGAACTCGAACGACAGTTAGGGAAGGGCAGTGCGCGTGCTCAATATCTTCGTACCTAAATCTGTTTTTACTATCTTTTTTTTTAAATATAGCCCATATAGAATTACTGGTGTTTTCGTAACTTACCTATGCTTCGCCGTGTTTCAAAACAAATCAAATTGAGACGTTCCTCACAAACATTTGGTATTCACTCTACTTCGTTTTTCTCTCTTCTTATGGTCGGACGTGGCCTATTGGTAAGCGTGTCGGGCTGCAGTTTAAAGGATTCGAAGTTAGAGACGTGATATCGGTGAAGAAGATCCTCTGTTTGAATCCTTTATCACTGACAACCACGTTATTTGGTTCGATAAACCGGACTAAGCCCTTGCGGCAACAGATGCTGCAGGTCAGCTCCTCTCCCACTGACGACTGTACTTGAACCACAGGTTATTTATCCCACGTGAGCAATTCCAATCCTTGATCTTTATAATCAGGTTGAACAGTTTTATCCGTAGTTGAAAACAAATTCGTGTGTATTTGTTTTTGGTGAATTTTAGATCGATGTCAGTATCAAGTACAAAGTTGACAGTGTGGTGTAAGCCGTCTAAAGGGTAATCGATAACACAGCAGGAAGGAAAGTTATACCGTAGTGCTGTCCATCTAAAGGATGGAGAGTTGATACCATGTTGCTGACAACCTAAAGAAAGGAAAGTTGATACCATGGTGCTGACAACCTGGAGAAAGGAAAGTTGATACCATGGTGCTGACAACCTGGAGAAAGGAAAGTTGATACCATGGTGCTGACAACCTGGAGAAAGGAAAGTTGATACAATGGTGCTGATAACCTGAAGGATGGAAAGTTGATACAATGGTGCTG